ATATATGAACAATATTTTTTTGTATTCAACTGATGTACAGATATTTTTTTATTTCTCATGAAATTAAAATTTCTTCACAGTCATCAATTTAAATTTTAGTTTGACACTAACACACCTTTTTAAATTAAAAAAAAAATGAAAATTAACCCACCCGCAAGTGCCACGGCCGCTTTAATTAATCCGGAACAACCCGCCATAAGTGACAATAACCATGCTAAAATAAATAGGATGCTTCAAATCAGAATATTTTCAGCGCAAGTGTTTGATTATATTTATTTTTTTAAATGTGGCAAAATATCCAATAAACGGAAAATAAATATTGTGTTACAAATAAATAACTTTAGACAATGTTTTCAGCTAAGTTTTATTATTTGAAACATTGATCTAATTAAATTTGGAGTGTTTTGAGTATATTTAATGTGATTGTGTGGTATATGAGAAAAAACTATGGAATTTTCAATTTTAATTATAGGATGTAATTTGTAAAGTTCCTAAAGAAAAATCTCCAATTTCATCTACAATCTGCTTTGGAAAAACTCTACCTATGCCCTTAATCGATGTCATATGTTTGAATTTTACAAAATGAAAATGTTTCTTTCTATTATCAAGTTGTGGGGCCAGAGTTTTATGTGAATCACCTTGATTCATCGAGATATTTTTTAATCACTCATTGCTCTTTTTTTCTTTAGATTAAAGGGTCATTTACAAGTAAAAGAGGCCAAGAAAGTTTTAATCCATACTCACAAGGAAATGTGTGTTTAAACTGCTTCCATATTCTTTGTGGGCCCGTAACTCCTTCCCTTATTGACAGGTAACAGATCCGTTATATAAATTTTATTCAAGAATCATATTACAATTTTTTAACAAATAATAATAATAAACATCATATAACATAACTGAAACATTTATTATAGTTCATTCAGTTGTCATATCAAATTGCTACAAAATGTAAATATTTCTTGGCTTATTATTACAGCCTGGTGTATTTCCCTATATTTTGCGCTCTACCTACAACAGTCATTTGAAGACAGAAAATAGTGTTAAATATTAATTGTTTCAACATTCTCTTCTGTGGGAGAAATTTGTGGAATCGGAAGAGAACTAACTTCTCCAGGGTAAATAGCTCCTGCTGCACAGGTAGCTCCAAAATTCCAGAAGTATTAGAGCGTAGTTTTAAAAAATAAAAAGTCATATTAATTTTAAAGTTGAAATCAGGAGTTATTTGTATTTCAGATTTCAGTAAATGTTAATTATATTTTAGAAACAAATTTCGTTTGTGTCTGACAACATCAAATATGTTTCAGAAAATTCTTAAGGTTGTATCCCAAGTACGGAATTCAAGTAGACAACTTTCCAGCAAGTCTCATATTTTAGTCACGTAGTTTCAACAACTGGCAAAGTTGTCTAGAGCGCAGCTGTGTGTGAGAGAGATTGATGGAACTTCAATGTGTGACGTTGATGCGTTTTATTTATGAGAATAATTATACGAAAAATTAAAATATTTGAGTATTATTATCTTTAATCCTAGGTGGTCAATCCTTTCCAGATTGTTACATATAACGTATTTCTACACAAATTAGTTTTGCTTAAAATTTGAGCGATTTCTCGAATGGGGTTATTTAGCTACAGTAACGATATTAATCGTAACGACAACATTTTTCGAAGGAGGGTCATTAGCCTTTGCTAAACATAGTCAACTTTGGTTAATCATAACTCAGAAACTATGTGGTAAAATGCGCTAAAATTTTTCAAAAGTATCTGTCAAGTGCATAATTAACTACTGCAGATTTCGTAATTATCTCGAATAGTGTCCATTTAATTATAAATTGATTGATATATTTATTTGTTAGTGTCCGGAAACAAATATACCTCAAGGATAGTTTTCTTGGGTGGAAGTAACTTGATTTAGATCAAGTTACCTTTGTATAATTTTGCTCCTTAGAAAATTATCGGTCTTCAAAAGAAAAATTGATTAAATTTTTTTAACCGTCACTTTTTAAGATATTTAATTTTCAGCTTTATCAGAAATTTCAACAGTACTGTAAAACTGTAAAAATCCTAATCTCAAAAAATTCATGTCAAATGTCAATAGGTAAGGCCATAGCTAGTGACTTCTAGTCTGGTCAAAAACTTACTAGGGTTTGTTCAATAAGTATCGGCACTGATTTTTTCCTGCCAATGGGAAGGGGTGAAACGTCTCTATGGATAGGATTGATAGGGAGACTCAGTTGCCTCCGAGCGTTTGAATGTGTACATTGCACCTAAAGTAAAAGTGTTAGTGTTCATGTCCAGAGTCAAGATGCACCTACCCATCGAGCAACCTCTCCTCCACCAGAAAAGGCCTGCAATAGTAAATCAAAAGTCCACTATGTCCAAGGGTTAGTAGCCAAACTTGTACTGTTCGATTTGTTGTTGTTTATCTGTTTTGAGAAATTGAAGGAGCAGGTAGGGAGCAAAATATAGGAAAACACACTGTATATGCAGCACATAAGGTAGTTAGTTTTAAAAATTACAAATGTAGGTCAGTTTTTAAAATTTAGTACCTGATGGCCTGATGGCAACACATGTTAAATTATACGTGGATGATCTGAAAAATCTTCAACCTAACAAAGATACAAGACATTTTTTCTTAAAATTAATTTTTATTTTTCTACATAGTTTTTTTCTCCCAGCGATGCTCTCATCTCTTTAACCTGTCCAAATAATACTCGGCAGCTTTCTTTGCAAAATAATTGTTTACTAAGGTGATGGCCTCCTTAGTTGATGAAAATCTCTGTCCTCCGAGCGCAACTTTTCGGGTAGGGAAGAAAAAAAGTCACTTAGGGTGAGTAAGGAGGGTGGTCAAGCAGTTTCAACCGTAATTCATAGATTTTCGCCAAGGCAACCACAGAGGCGTGAGACGGCGCATTGTCTTGGCGAAGCAAAATTTTTTTTCCTTGCAAATGTGGCCGTTTTTCTAAAATTTCTGCCTTCAGCTTGTCAAGTAATGATGCGCAGTATGTTCCCATAATGGCTTTTCCTTTTTGAAGATAATCGATTAAGATAACTCCATGACTATCTCAAAAAACAGTCAGCATCACTTTCTCAGCCGAAAAAACAGTTTTTGCTTTTTTTGGAACCGCTTCCCTTTTCGCAGTTCACTGTTTTGTCTGTATTTTTGTTTCTGGGGTATAATAGTGTATCCAAGTTTCATCTACAGTAATTAATCGGAATCAAAACTCTGATTTATTGTGCCTAAACTGTGCCAACAGAGCGTTGGAAATGTTCATTCGAACACGTTTTTGGTCTGGTCTAACATGAGCAAACGCGGCACTCAACATCTTTCTCCTGCTTAAATCTTGATTCAATATGTGACAAACACGTTCTTTGGACATATTCATAGCCTCTGCTATCTCTCTCACTTTAATCCAATAGTTGTCTAGCATTATTTGGTGAACTTGAGCATGTGTTGGTTGTAGTTTTTGGACATCCCTAACATTCATCGTCTCCTAAGCAGGTACGGCCACGTTTAAATTCAGCTGCCCAAAATTTCAAGGTGGTAAATGTTGGTGCAGACTCCCTATACACAGCGTCCAACTCGTCCTGATTTACGAAGGCATATTTCCTTTCAAAAGCAAATATTTAATGACAGCTTGATATTCGATTTTTTCCATTTTCACAAAAACACACTCATTAAAATTATTGTCAAATAATAACTGCGCTTACGAAATGGCTGAAGTTTTGGTAAGTACCTTTCAAAAGATACGCATTCCTAGCTTTTGTTGACGAGTGCTGCCATCTTTATGTTGAGGTCGGAAACTTTTCAGACCACCCATGTATATCCTTATGGATTATGTATCCATAATATTTTTAGGAGAGGATTAGTTACTGACAGTTATCGTTCTGAAATTAATAGGAGTTCTTCTAATGAACCGACACTGCAGTTAAAGAATTATGGAATCCATGTGCAGGTAGATGTAAATTGTATCTGCAACAAATTCGTTTTTAAACAATTTTCTGTATTTCAGAATGGTCCTCAGCAAGTTACTAATAATTCGTCGGAGATGCCTGGAATCTATAGACAAACCACAGAGACTGCGGGTATGTACAGTCCTTTAAAGAAACACCTTTATCGTGCACAACAAATAATACCGTCCAAAAATTGTGCCACTCAAAAAGTAATACCCTCTCAGGCCCCTCTACTTCCTCCTTATGATTATCATAAGAAATTCACAAAAAATCCCCCCTTAGAGGTCTTTAAAAATAGCCATTCCTTACCTCAATTAAAGAATTTTGTACAATCACCCGATCCTTTAGAATATGATAATTTTTATCATCTATATGAATCTCCACAAGAATTAGAGAGGGGACATCAAATCCCTTATCACAGACGGGAAGTTCCACTCCCTCCAATTGACACACACACGAGGCCTTACACACCTCCTGAAAAGAGGTACAATTCAAACTTCGGTCAACCAAATGAGTATAAACCACGTAAACCCAGACCTCGAAGCAGTTGTGTGTATGAAAATGTTCATGCACGTGATATCTATTGTGTAATTAGTAATGAGAAAATCGATAAAGGTTTAAATTACACTCCTAATGTTAGGGTCAGCAACTTCCCTATGCCCGATTTTAGTCAGATGTATATTCAGAACAGTTTTGATTAAATCATATGTTGAGACAATGATAACAGTTAAGTCTTCCAAGAAATATGTATATGTTTATTATGTATTAGTTGTGATAACAATGATGAAAAAATCAAATTACAATCAAATTCATGACTTTCTGTGTAACAGTTATAATACCTGAATGTCAGTTGGTATCTAGATAGAACAATTTAATCAAAAGTTATTTTGTCATTTATTCATAATGGAAATTCATATTTAAAAGTTTATAAGTTAAATATTTGCTGTAAGAATAATATTGTTAATATTTGTGTGCCTTTTATATCATGTGTCTTTTCTACAGAAATGTCAGTAGATTATTTGCGATTTTTATAGGCATTGGTTTTGCTTGTACACAGGATGTTCCATTTAAAATGAAACACCCTTAATATCCCAGAAAAAAATATATAAAAATTTATTGAAACTGGTATCACAAGTTGAACAGTCGAGTCATTCAAATTTCATACAACAGTGATTAAAACTAGTTCAGAATATCCAAAAGGTAATCATGAAAGTGTCTTTCCAAAGATAATAAAAAAGTACTAAATTTTAACATTCTTTATTTTTTAAAACATAAATTTTACTCTAGTTAACATGTAATAATAGTTTACAGACAATACATCTAATAGTAAGAATACATAAGTGTTTTAAATTTCCAAAATTAAATAATTTTAATATTTACCTTTGCTGTTGCGACTTTCTCTGAGCAGTATAAAATTTTCATCTTTTTAAAATAATTTCTACATACTTATAATGTTATTTTTAAATCAGTAACCAGATATAACTACATTAATAAAATTGATTACAAAGTCATATATTTTTTGTAAGGTTTTATAAAACATTGTTTTTTTTTTTACTTAATTAAATTAAATTTCACAATTTTTAATATTGTAAAATTTTAACTGCATTTGCAGCAGTGTTGCTGTGTAGTGTAGTTCTTTAATGAAAAAATTAAAAAAAGAACTGATTGAATATATCATATAGATTTTTGGAAGTTTGGAAATAAAATGAAAAAGATCATAATAATAATTGTGTTTATGTTTTGAATGTTTTTTGAGAGTTGGCAGAAAAAGAGGAAAAATGTTTGTGAAATAAATAACATATGTGATTGGTTAATATTTTTAAAGTTCTATTTCTTAAATATTTAATAATTAAATTACTTGAAAAATGAAAAAAGTATAAACTAGGATGATTTTTATTCAACTAATTGTATTATGTATGTATTCTGTTTTTATATTTCCATAAATAATTTTCTGATTGTTTCTACTTGAATAAAACTGGTAACAAAATATCAGAATATCTGCAACATATGAGAGAACTAAATACTTTGAAAAAAAATTATATCTGAATTTTTAGCAATTGATTAATTAAAATACCTATATGTGATGTGACTAGTTATTCTGTAACATCGTAAAAAAAAGTTTTAGAATTTCAGAAGGTAAAACAAGTAAAAAAATTTGTCTTTTATTGCGACGTGCCAAACTTAGATCATTTACAAGACTAAGACTAAACCACTTCTACAAATAAGTTAATATCATTTACAATAATTGCAGAAAATGACCGCCGCTTACTGCAAAGCATGCATCAATTCGCTTTAACATTGACTGATTAATAATGGCACACAATTCAAATATCCTGTTTCTTAGATCTTGTTCATTTTGAATAGTAATATATAAAGTGATAGCGTAACATAGCACATGGCTCATTTTCACTTGTTTTCCAAAAACTTAATAATTTAACTTGCAAAATTCCAACGCAGGTTTAACTTTAAACCCGTTTCTTTACAAAACGGCTGCTTTCAACGACAAATACTAAGAGTACCTTTTTGTAAGTAAAATTGAATAGAGAATAGGGATGTTTAGTCAAAATTGATATTCAGTGAGACGTAGTGATGGGACTACTCGAATGAAAATTATCGATTATATCGATTATGAAAATCTCTCGAGTTATCTCGAGTGGTCATATAGAATCATTCGATTATTCGGATACGAATGACAGTGGCCACAGCGTTACTAATACCTGCACTACTTGAGCGAGTGCGCAGATGTTTCGATTGTTCCAACGCTCTAACGAGCTACAACATCTCGAGATAAGACGGCCGAGAGGATAGATGAGACAATCGAATATCACTGCACCGACATACAAGAAAAAAGGTATGCAGGAATTTTATGAGCGGCATCGCGGGGGGTTAGATGTGAGCTTTATTTAGCGGGGATAAAAATTCATATGAATGAAAATAATACCAAATTATGTTTTCTATATAATTTTTTTTTCAAAAAAATCCCAAACAATGGATCTCTTTAGGCGGCGACTACTCATTTTAAACACATGCTGCTGAATCACTCAACTGGCAACGAAGAAATATGGAAGAAATGCCCCAATCCGCGACAGTCATTCATTTACCTAACGTCAACATGTTTCGCATATGATTTGGGATAGACCGGAAATTTTCAAAGTGAACTTTCGATTATTCATTCGAATGATCATTCGATTATATCGATTATTTAATTCATTCGATTATTCCCATCACTAGTGAGACACAAAAAAGTTATGGTTATTTAAATAAACTTAATAAACACCCTGTATATACTATTACTACTTTTATACTATTCTGCAATCTAATTTTTTTTTTTCACAAATGGAATCTATTTCATTATACACACAAACATAACATTTTCTACATACTACTAAAACATTACGCTTGTTCCTACGGTTATTGCTATCAAGAAATAATCAGAGTGGATGAATTATTTTATGGGAATGCAGAGAAAATAAAATTTTAAAACAACATAAAAATAAGAAAGTACTTTTTTAATGAACATCTTTTACATTTAAATGGTGGTTTTTCTGCTTTTAGCTTCTTTTCCGCTTTCAAAATCTTCATAAAATTGAATATAAATATGCATGCATTTTATTGCACACTGCTTTATAAAAATCTTTTCTCTAATATTTTCTAACTACAATTGCCTTACAAATGCATAGTAAATAATTTGTCTTGCATCTACATACAATTTTATCGAAATTTAAAACACTTATTTTCAGTAAAAAAGATATTGGCTTGTTACCATAAAGGAATGAGTATAAATATATATTGTGTTTGAAAAGTATTCATTTACTATATTTTATTAAGTATTTATGATATTGTTTGTGTGAAATTAATTAAGCTTAATATAAGACTAATTTTTTTGTACTTAGTTCATAAGTGATATTAAAGTGTGCAATATCATTATTTAATTGTTCTTGCATTCATTGTGTTTACATTGGTGGAGGTATTCTATGGTTGTATATGGTAAGTTTTAGTTTTTGCATGACTTTTATGTACATTTTTAGCTTTCTTTAAAAATGTATTTTTTTTGCTGAATTCTGCTTTGTCTTTCATGAATGTGTTTTATAACTGTTTAATAATTATTGCATTGATGTATGTGGTAACTCTGTATTTGAAAAGACTCACTTTATATGCTTTTACATATGTATATTTAACACTAATATATTGTGGAATGCCATCTAGAAAATTTCACTTATGTCATTTTATATATACATGGTATAGCAAAAGTACCGGAACGGCAGAATAACTCAGTGGGAGAGCATTTTAGAGAAAAATGTTAAATACTAAAGTTTCAGGATTTCTCCCTGGCTATCCGATGGTGACTTTGACCTTGAAGATCATTTCAAGGTTAAATGTGATTTTTCAAATGGGACCCTATACTTTTGACCCCAGAAATGAAAAGACTGGAAAATTTTACGTTCATATATGACCTTGAGTGATCCCTCCCTTTTGACCTTGGGGCATCCACAAGGTCAAACTAACAAAAGTACAGGAAGGGCAGAATAACTCGGCGGAGAGCATTTTAGAGAAAAATGTTGATTTTGAAATGATCTTAAAGATCAAGGTCAATGTCAAGGTCACCATCGGATAGCCACGGAGAAATCCTGAAACTTTTGTATTTAACATTTTTCTCTGAAATGCTCTCCCGCCAAGTTATTCTGCCGTTCCGGTATTTTTGCTATACCCTGTATATTTGTGCATGTTCAAAGCAAGTGCACCTCTTTCATGCATAGAAAAGTATACTGTCCTGTTAATTCCAAATGGCAAAGTAAATATTGTCTGTTTAAGTATTACTGGATGAACATAAATTGATTTAAAAACCCAAATATTAATGCAAATAATAGTACTAATTTTGATTAATTTTTTTAATGAATGAAAAACAAATTATAGTACAAATAATGAATATCTACTTTGTCAGTTACGACTTTATGAATTAATATGGCAGTAAATATTAGTCATATAACTCATATAGTTGCAGACACATTGTTTATGGAATTCGATCAGGAACCCACAAAATAGAAACCTCTATCCCTCAAATTGTACGATTATGCAACATTATAATATTTAATATTTTTATGAGCATCCATTTACAGTAAATTAAAACGTAGATTCCATCACAAAATAAATACAATGGAAAAGATTTTATTATATTTCCACTTAAACTAGTTTTACCTGCTTATTGTAGCCAATTTGCATCTGAAGTTATAAAGATCCAATATTACCAATCATTGCTTTATTTTTTTATATTAGTAATGTTTACTAATAATTTGAACCAGTAATTTGGATATAGTATTTTTATTTTTCATTTTTAGATAATTTTACTAGCTTGTCTGTTGTCTCATTGTTTCTTGAAAATACGTAGATATTTGGTATCGAAGAGTGTTTTTAACTTCATTTGAAGGTTTAGAAAAATTTTTTAAATGTGTAATAATTAAATAATGTAAAAAGTCAGAAATGTAAGAGCAAGAATAAAATAATTGCAAAAATTTTAAATTGTCACAAGCAGAAAAGAAAAATGCAGTTAAAAAAATAAAGGATTTAAAATTTTACTTTGCATTTTAAAACAGAGACCGTCATTAAATATGTTGTAAATCTTTAGGAGTTTATTGTATTTTAAACGAGTTGATTTTAATTTTAATTTTGTAAGTGTCATAGCAATTTTGCAGTATTTTATTTAGTTGTAATTGTTAGGGCGTATCAAAAATAAACCAATAAATTTCAAGAGCACTCATACATACCTCATAAAAATAATGCAGGGTGTAAATAAATAAGTTGTAAAAAATTCATGGAGGTGGAAAAATAAGATAGTTCTTTCATACAAAAAAATCTCATTTGGACATTTCCTGTGAAGTAGTCTTTATGTTTTGTTTACCTGCATTATTTTTGTGAATATTGTAAGTCCTCGAAGTTGGTGAATTTTTGTTAACCTTGTATCTGTTAAAAATATAAATAATAAAGTGGCCTATGTACCTGGTCTCCACTAGTCACAGACTTACGTTGCACTTCCTTAGCCTTAGATAGGAATATTCGCTACTCTTGTTGTTTTCGGGCTAGGCTCTATGAAGGTGATCAGAACGTGTAGGCCCGCTCTGATACCAGTTCTTGTTATTGATGAGATAGCGTAGAGGTGCATGCAGTGGTACTGGGAATGTACTCGAGCCCAAGCCCTCTATCACACTCTCACGGACTAGCAACACACATAATAGACATCGGCAATGCAAGCGAGACCTTCCACAGCTTTTACAGAGTGGTCACTGAAGATGCCGATAGTGAAGGATCGCAAAATGTTCATATCTTGGATGTGATCAGATACATAGGCCACTATGGATCATCTCAGAGGACCACCATTGTTTGAGGAGCAGCCTAGAACCTGCAACAAGAATTGATATTAACTTCAAGGCGCGCTAGGGGAGTTCTGAAAGTAAGTTCACCCCCACAGAGCCCAGTCCGAGGACAACAAGAGCACGCCAAAAATTCCTAGCTAAGGCTAAGAAAGTGCAATGTAAGCCTGTAACTGGTGGCAAACATGGTACATTAAATATCAGCAATGGGCCAACCGCTAATATTATAAACTGCCCATAAATATTTAGATAGACCTTTAAAAGTACCAGTAAATTTAATTATCAGATAAATAAAAAAATGGGAATATATATATTCGTTAACCTACTTAGCAAATGTCGCAAGTCCACTTTTTATCCATATAGAGATTTTGGTGGCATCTAGCTGGCAGTGCATGAACCTGTCATGCTGAGAAGTCAGATTTTACTTTAGTAGTAAACAGCGCGCGAAAACATCAGAAAGCATATGTCGAATGTCCACCGCAGTCGGTCCAAGGGCAGAAATAGTCGTAAGTCCACCAAAATCTCTGTCTGAATAAAAAGTGGACTTACGACATTTGCTAAGTAGGTTAACGTATTGACAGATTTATTTGTATAGCAAAAAGATGTATTTGATAATGACAAGAGATTAATCAGTATAGTAGTAATTTTATTATTAAAAAAAAACTATTTCATTTAAACCCTGTACTTTGAGTTTCGGTTAAGGCTGGATTAACTAATCAGGCAATTAGATTGTGATTATATACTTTATAAAATATATATGTAGTCTAATCGCCTGATTAGTTAATCAAAGCATAACTGAGACTCAAAGTACCTGGCCTTAACATAACCAAAATTATAATTTCCTCAATAGTTTCAATTAAATCCATTTAACATAAATATTAATTCACTTTAACCATGAGCAATTAGACAATTTTCTGTTAACAGCACACATGTCATAATTGTGATTAATCCTACATAGCAGATTTTAAATATTAATTCATTATGTAGGATCTGTGAATAAATTATTTGTTTTCATTTCAGAGAGTAATGCAGGAAGTATAACCCATTTAGTCACAAGTGAACAGCCATTAGCTATCGCTCCTGCTGTGCAATTATCGAGAACTTTAGAAGACTCGCAGCAATATAAATCACAACCTAGTTTGAACCATTCTCCCGTTTATAATAACATTGTAAGGCATACAAATCAAGTACCCTTAGGCAAATCACATAGTTACGCAGATAACTTAAACACGACGGTGGATAAGCAAGTTGAACTCAAAGAAACAACTGTAAATATAGAAGACCTCCATTTAGACCCCATAGTGCTAAGGGAAAGCCATATTTTGTCCAACATAAGTGAAAATACAAAATTTCCCGACTTGAAACTAGATAATGATTTAACTTTACAAGAGAAGGAAAATAGTTTATTAAGTGCGAGTAGACTTCGTCTTTTACAAGACACAACTATGATAGAAAGTGCTCTAGATTTGGACTCTCTAGATGATTCTAGTTTAGGGACTAATAGCCAAGCTGGGCTTATGAAAATTGTTGTGTAATATTGGTTGTTATTATTGATAAAACGTTAGCTTTAAGTGCATATAAGGTTTATTTTTATGGTTTTAAAGAGATATTATTTATTTTTGTACATTATATTATATTCTCTAGCAGAATTCTGTCAATGCAGACTAAACATTAAGTGTACTTTTTTAATTCAATTTATAGATACATCTTTTAAGTTATATTGTAAATATATACATATATAGATGTTAGCATATATTTTATGGTACTATTCTGTAATGACAGTGAGCATTATAAAAATGTGACCCTCAATTTTAGATGCTTCTATAGTCGACGTAACGAATAATATTCCTCAGATCTATTTCAATAAAGGAAAAACGGTGAAATCTCCCTTACAGATATCTCCTACAAAAAGACAATTTTGCCTGGTTCCTGCAGCTTTTCATAAGAATAACACTCGTACCCTTTTTTTAGATGAATGTAGACGCTAATTTTTTAATATTTTAATGACGATATTTTTTCTAAACAAACCCAAAAATGAGGAAAAATAAATATCGTTAAAACAGTCGCCAACTCTTTACTGTGAATCTTCATTCCCCATCAATAATAGAATTGCATATTTTGGTGATTAAGGTGCAAGATCAGCTACTAAGAAATCCCGCTTTTGATTTCCTATTTTTTTTAGTTTATTCATTTATGTTTTTATTTGGTGTGTAATATTTGTTTGACTTTTTTGAAAATGGTGCTAAAGAGCAAAATTTTGATTAATTTTTTTTATCAATTTCACTTCCATGGCGGGAAGGAGTTTATCTAATTCCACTGTGAGAGATTCCACTGTATACATACATCTGTAAACAATGACGTTATATTATTAAACTTCAATGTGTTTTTTACTAGAGATCACTGTATTGAGAATTACAGAATAGCACTATTAATTATTACAGCCTGTATAATTTGCTGTTATACATTTATGGAAATTTCAATTTGGGCTAAATTTAGTTCCATTTCCAACTGTTCTGAACGATGTTCTTCTACTTATGTTATCGATTGTCAGAGATATAATTGTCTATTTAAATTTGCCTCAGAAATATGTTATATGTTTATAAGGTACTGGACTTAATAAATATAAACAGTTTATTCAATAGCGTTAGCAAGTTCTTTCTTATTTTTGAGAAATGATTATTATTGATTCCTTTTTATTGATGTAATAAATTTGAAGATATTTGCTTTAATTAATTTATTTCTGAATTTAGGTCTATCATCACACTTAGAAAACATAGATATTGAACTCTACCCTTATTGAATTAGTTAAAATTTCCATGACTGTATTTATATACCTACTGCTAAAATTGCAAAATTGGTGTCATGGGGAGTATATATATTTGATATTTGTATTTATATTTTTGCTATAAGATCATATTATATCAAAGCGGACAATATTTTTAAATTTTCACATAAAAATGCCCTAATAATATTTCTTATATATGATAAAAGTTCGCATTATAATTATTTAATTATAAATTTTTAATGTAAGGTACAAAAAATATTTTATAAAATTCATGTTAAGCATTGTCTTCTTTTATGTAGATAATAAGCAATATTTTGAGAGACTAATAAAATTGTATCTGTTCTGTAACAGGTTAAATGGAAACTTAATTTTTGTGTCATCCTGAAACATATAGTATTAATACATTTACGTGATATTACCTTTATTCTAATAGTAAGGAATATTATTTCAAATTGTGAACTAGAAAACAAACATTTTTGGAATTGTAAGCTTAGTAATATTTTTAATAATTTGTCTGACAAGGAAATAAATAGTTGGACTAGTAACAAAGTGTTTTATTTTATACCCTGAGTAGTAAGATTGCATATATGTACATACAGGGTCGGAAAGTCCCCATGGTTCATCGGCCGTTACGTGAGAGCGATAGAGAAAGTCATAGAAATCCGTGCGATAGAGAAAGATGGCTATAACGAAGGCATTTAATAGTCACCGCCCATTTCGCCCTTCCAGAAATAAGAAGTGGATCTTATTTGTGGAAGGGCGAAATGGGCGGTGACTATTAGACGCCTTCATTATAGCCATCTTTCTCTATCGCACGGATTTCTATGACTTTCTTTATCGCGCTCACGTAACAGCCGATGAACCATGGGGACTTTCCGACCCTGTATAACTCCGCGGTCGAAATTATGAGAGTGACTCATCGCTAGCTTTTGGAGTTTTTGGACTAGTAAGGGGGATGAAGCGTGCCGGGAACGAAAATCCATTGGCGTGTCTGCGTAAAAGGCAATAAGATATAGAAAATATAGTAAAAAAGATAATAAAACATAACATGTAATATTTTTTACGGTTAGCTATAACCGCGCCATTATTCTATGGCTAGAAATTGGCCTCAATGATTTGGGATTGAGGGGGATTATCTCTCTTTATCCTGCCTCATCTCGTGTAGGCCTGGACAGCCTTCGTAGGTGGGCCCCATCCGTCGTCTACCCCGACCGCAAATGCGGCCGGTGTAGGCGCTTTGTGGGACCTCCTTTTGTCCTGGCTGGGCCCCGCCGGCTAGGGCCCTTTTTTCTGGCGCTCTTCTTGCTTTGCCGGCTCGTCTGTGTAAACCCCGGGGGTAGTGTCATGTTTATGTGTGGTATGGTTGGGTAGGGTAGTGCGGCTATGCAGCCTGGGATGCGCTTTGCTAAGGTGGCCCTTAGGCTAGCGCGGGAGGGGAGGGTTAGGGAGGGTATGGGGGGTGTGTATGTGTGTGTGTGTGTCGTTGTCTTCGTTTCTTGATCCTGGCTGTCTCTGAAACAGAAAAGGTTAGCGGGCAGGGGGGGGGTCATTGGGGTGGTCACCCAGGGTCAAAAAGTTGGTGTCTAGGTCTTTTGTGTTTGTCGGTCACGTCGGGTACGTAGTCAACGGCTTGCCTGAGGAGGGGATTGTCATGTCTAGCGGCTACGTGAAATCGTTTCTCCGCGTTTTGTCTTATTGTCTGTGTAGCGTTTGTGTATTGTAAATCTCGTAATATGTCAGTGTTTCTTACGTACCAGGGCGCGTCGGTGGCCGTGCGGAGGGCTATGTTTTCCACAGCCTGTAATGACTTTAAGTGGCTTTTTGCCGCGTGACCCCACACGACTAACACTTACACACCCACCCACCC